TATTCCCAAGGTTTGGGTTTAAGTCAAATTTGTATGTAAGCCAGAACAGTATTATTGTATAATACTGTATAAGTCGTATTGTGTAACTTGAACAATTGCATATTTAACTCAAATCATTGTGTATTTAACTTGAATTTTGCTACAGTAGGCTCTGTTCTTAACTATGGGTCGTCCTTAAACCGGGCATTCTTAACCTGGGGACTACCTGTATTGTTATTTTGCTTATGTTGATTTTCTGAATGTTTTGTATTGAGGGTCAGTTGAACCTGACAGTATATTCATTTAATAAATAAATAAAGTTTGTATGTATAATACAAAATTAAATTATTCTGCTTTCTAGGCCACAGTGAACATGCATTATAATTAAAAGAATAATTACAGCATGGCTACAGGAGACTTAAAAGGAAACTTGTGTAAGATGGAACAAAGACTTCGGCTTATAAATTATCCTACAGATGTGGATTATACAGGGTAAGTGGAAGTAATATAGTCGCTAATAATTAGTACAGTCATGGCTTATTAGCGAATGTACCTACTGGCTTTTCCTGCTCAGCAAATGATCAATCTATTCTTTGTTTTTAAATTGTGTATTATCTGAATGTAGTAAAGTAGTTTCTTCTGATTAAATCAAACCAGAATGGGAACCTATGATTTGCTTCAGGTTTTCCTCGCTGACAGTTTATGTGGCATTGATCTAAAAATAAACGATGGATAAGTGGTTTGCTTTATCGCTCTTGGGACAGGGAAAGGAGCCTTTGGATGCATTCATTGTTAAATGATAGATGATTATATCATCTGTATTACTCTTTGTTTTACTTGGTTTCCAGACAGCCTAATTTAATGGTAACTTTCTGCAGTTGTCACTGATATTTTCTCCTCCACTATCCACACCCAGATTAGCTCCAGAAGAAATTACCAACTTTCTAGTACAGATTTTGAGGGTGTGCATAAGAAAAAAGGAATCTGTATTATTTTAACATAAATAATTTTACCATTAGACAATTTTTCTGTCTGCTCAGGTAGCCCATAATTAGAAAATTAAATCAGAAATAAACAACTATTGAGAAATAAAAGCAATCTGTTAAAGTCAGTATTGAGTAGGGAACAGAGTTGGACTTTGGCAGTGCCCTTTGATCTCTGTGTTCTTGTTTGAAAGTGAAAAGAATGTTCTACAGTTCTACCATATTTGTCATCCTAAACTATTCCCTTTATTTATAAATAAATCATAATGAAATAAACAAGATAATTTGTTTCCATGCTATAGCATTTTTGTTTTCATGAAGTATTTATCTAGGGTCACGCTAGATGATTTTAAACTGGTGATTGTTATTTTTTAAAATGATTCCTACACTTTAGTCATAACCTGAACCTTCAATGAAATGCAAAATATAATATTTAAAATAGTCTACAGTATATATCAAGTGTGTATTGGTTTGTTGTTGCAACATCTAGACAGATAAAAACCAGTTTTTGCAGCCTGTATAATGTATTCCCTAGGTAGCGAATGTTTTGTCTAAAGTGAGGAAATAAATCTAAATCATCTTTTGGGAAAAGCTTGAGAAAACAACCCTGTTTCAATTTTTGTTGTTTTTACATGTTGAACAGTAATAATACAGTGTCTCCCAAAAATGCAAACTAATGACTCTGGAAACATAATTTAATTATAAAATACTCCTAATTAAATGTAATGATGGTCTGCTACTATGATAGTGTTTCAGAAGTATATAAATAAAGCTACTGTAGTGCGGGGGGGATCTAAAGGTTTTGAATTATCAGTAATTTCTTATTTAGTTTTTCCCACCATTACAGGTTGGCAAAGGGTGATCCATCTGTGTTTTTGCCAATCATCAGTTACTGTTTCACATCGTTCTCAACATATATTACAGAACTTGTAATGGAATCAGGGGTGGAACTTACAGCAAAGAATGATTCACGTTTTGTTGATGCCATATATAAGGTATATATATCTTAAATATGCTAATGTGGCAATTTACCATTAATAGTAATGAAAAAATAAAAGTGTCATTGTACCTTGAAATTTAAACATTGATTTAACTTTTAGTGCATTATGGCATAGTATTCTATAAGACTTCTGAATTTCTTATATTGTGACTATATGCAGTCCACACCTCTATGGA